TTTTTTTTTTTTTTTGGAAGAAATGTCATTTTGGAACATTACTTCTAATATGCAACTAATGTACTTTTTTATATCAGAATTTTACTTTTGATACTTAAGTAAATGTCAGATAGCTACTTTGACTTTTACTCAAGTATTATTTTAAAAAGAGACCCTTTACCAAAGTAACTTTATGGTCAGCAACTTGTACAGAAGTATCACTTTGAGGTACTTTATACAAGACTTTAGCTTTTTGTATATTTTTATTTATTCATTTTGCTTTTAACCAACCCATTGCTACTTTCAAAATCTGGCTTGCTTTTTAATGTTAGCAAGTCTTTCTTACTACTTTTAGCTTTAAGTAATTAGGTTTTAGCTAGCGTAGCTTTTAGTTAATCTTTTGTTAGTTTTCAACAAGCATTTCGCTACTTTTAGCTTCTAGTGAGCCCTTTGCTCTTAGAAAACAGCAATTATTCTAGGTCCTGAGTTTCCTTAAAATCTGTCGAATGGTTCTAGAGATATTTTGCTACCAGAACGACTGACAAATGAACAAACAGAAGAAAATAAATTAAACCCTGCCTTTTATGACGGTGGGCAATAATCACCAAGCAATCGTTTATGTTCAGGACTAAGGAAACATGCAACTCTAATTGATAATGTGATAATAAAACTCCACCATCTAAAAATAGGGGATGTTGATGTTAAATTTGCAGTGTTGAATAATTAAGACTAATGTTACCCACAGAGACGACTGATGCAGATTTTCTTTGCTGCTGATCAGAGGTGTGAGAAAAGCATTCTGAGTTCAGAATTTCCAGCAACATTCACAATTTTTGCTCATAATAACTTAAATAATCTAACAGTTGCTTTTTTATTTAAACTTATCTAGTTTTCAATCAGGTCTGTACAGAAATAAAAGTGCTAGACTTAGTTTTTATCAGTTCCAATGACAGGCACCACCTCCATTTACTAAACAGGTACTGAAGTGAACACAAGCTGTTGATTATTGTGAATGTTTGAACATAACCTGTGTAATAACTGGGCCACGTTTAGACCAAGAAACTGGATTTTTAGACGGAAAGTATTGCCTTTAAATGTATTAAACCAAATAATTTTATTGAACATATGAGATGCCTTCAAGGTGGTAACAAAAACAGACAACTGATATGCTTGAAATGAAAAAAGAAAAACCCACATTTTATTGCACTTAAGTTATAAGAAAATAAAATTCTAAGTGAATCAAACAAATACACAATCCCTTTCAGTTTTTTTGTGTTTTCTTTTCTTTTTTTTCTTTGCCAGGCAGTATACATGAACTGAACAAAATAAAAGACCTGCAACAAATCTGATTTCTCAAACCAGATCATAAATTAAAACAGACGGCGAAAACAACAAGAGGAGATAGAGCGAGATTGTTTTCTTTCTTTTTTCTCTTTTTTTTAATATACAGTGTTATACCACTTTCACAGTTCAGCTTGAGTTGTGACTCTTGAAGATTGCGACGACTTTTTTTTTTGTTTGGCTACAATGTTTCTGTCCGCCTTAGGTGCCTTGGTGTTTTTATTTCCCCGGCCCCTCAGCAAGGCTGCAGCAGGTCTCTGGGATTTTTACCTGCATCACGTGTAACACTAAGACTTTCTGCAGCTCCCGTCAGTTGATGCTTGTGATGGTCTCCTCTGTTGCTTCAGACGTCTCCGAATGGGAAAGAAAAAAAAAAGTAAAAACAACCACACACGGATACGGACAGTTCTTTCATTCATGTGTTAAAATCGATACATCTGCTAGTTTGATTTTTTTTTCTTTTAGCTGTTTTTTTTCTCTCTCTCTCCACACAGCATGTTTGTACATTTCCCCAAAGAACAGGCTGAAAAAGCGTTGTCCCAAGGAATGTGTTTACAAGTTGCCCGTTAACACGCAAACACACACACTCACACACACACACACACACAAACACACACACACACACATGCACACGCACTCCGACAGTGTACATCCCCTCATTTCTCCTTCTCTGCTGGCGATCATGTCAGTATCTGTCAGACACGCTGCCCCCCTCCTCTCAGCCTCGTAGAGGCACGTTTGGCTCAAGTTTCAGTGGCAAAAAAACAAAAACAAAACGAAATGAAACAAAACAAAAACAAATGTGTCAGATGTTATCTTTGCCTTGTTTAGTTTCTTTTAAGTCCAAACATATAGAGTTCAATTTTGGAATTTCGCCTGGGACTAAAACGTCACAGCAAGTAAAAGTTCCATCTCTCTCTTTCTCTATCTCTCTCTGTCTTCTTCTTTTTTTTGTTGATTCCTTTAGCAGCATAAATTCAGTTTGGCCACTCGGGAAAAACAGTAGAGGGGGAAAGGAGCTGAAGGGAAACCATCAGAGCTGGACTTGAGAAAACAAAAGGACTCTGGACAGCACTGATTTTCATGTTGGAGACACAGCTCCAAACCCAGGTGTGATGAAAACAGAAAGAAACAACTCAAAAGGTAACAAAAAACGACAACATATCTAAACCGGATGGGTTTCTCTAATACTGGGATTTGCGCAAATGAAAAAAAAATTGCAAAATGACAAAAAACAAAAAAACAAAAACCTTTCACATCACAAAGGTACTGAAATTCACAGTTGTGTTATTGTGTGCGGCACTGTGGAGAAATGAAACTACAGAAACCAAGTGGGGGAGAACAAGAACAGAAATGGAGTGACAAGAAACGAGCCTGATTACAGGCTGAACGCTCCAAACGCTTCCTTTCTCTCCACGACATCAAGCAGCTCTTTGGGAGTAACTGAGTGTGTGTGTGTGTGTGTGTGTGTGTGTGTGTGTGTGTGTGTGTGTGTGTGTGTGTGTGTGNGTGTGTGTGTGTGTGTGTGTGTGTGTGTGTGTGTGTGTGTGTGTGTGTAGGGGGGGAAAAACTTCAGCGCTTACATCTTCTACTGTCTTTATTCTTTACCCACGGTCAATGTTTTCTGCTTTTCGGTTGGCCGTTTGAGTGTATGTGTGTGTGTGTGAACACTGATGAGAGAGGGTGTGTGTGTGTTTGTAGGGGATGCGTGGTGGGGGACTTTTAAAAATAAAACATCTCTGTACATCTCAAAATCTGTCAGGCTTGAGCAAAACCAAGTCTCTGTGCAAAGCCGACCCTGAACCGAAACGGTGGAGTCGCTTCAGAAAGGAGTCGGTCGTTAACGTTCCTTTTTTTTTTTCCTCTCGTCTTTCTCCCAGTCGCTTGAGAATGGACCACTTGTGCCCCTTCGCCCTCCGTTTCTAGCCTGAACCTTTAGGACTCCGCCTCGCACGGTTGGGGAGGGGTCAAAAAGCGGGGTGGGGGGGCTGAATACATGAGGATCTGTGTCAGTAACGTGGGAGAGATGGGTGATGGCGATGGAGGACAGAAACAGCCCACTGTTTGTGGTTGCGGTGGGGGCCAGACATTTGTGAGTTCAGATGAAGAGTTCTGGGTATCGCCCGTGTGGTTTCCCCGGGCGCCTCGCCTCCCGTTCCCCTCTCTACTCCGTCCTCTCCCGGGTTCGCTCGCTAACCTTCGGCCTTCTTCGACGCCTCCGTCGTCTCATTTCATGTCCACGTCAAAGTCCAGCACCAGCAGCTTGGTTTCCTCTGTGCCGTTGCGGCTGCCGACGGCGCACACCAGCTTAACGTTGGAGGCCCGGATGCGCCACACCACACCTCCGCTGCCGCCGCTCTCCAGGGTGACCAGGTTACGGATGAACTCGCCCGTCTTCAGGTCCCACAGCTTGACGGTGCCGTCGTCCGAGCTGGTGATGACAAAGTTCTTGTTGAACTGGAGGCACGTCACGGCGCTCTGGTGCTTGTGGGGACCTGAAGGGACACAATAGAGAAAATTAAGAGCATTTATTAATGCTGGCTATACTTCACCCTATTTCATATTAGGGGTGTAAGAAAATATCGATACACTGAAATATTGCAATATTTCATTTCCTGATCCTGTACTGATTCTCAAAAGCAGCGTTTCGATTTTTAATTAAGGCTTAATTGATGGATGTCGTCAGTGGTGGAAACCACTAATCTAAAAATTAGTTCCACTAGCCCTAAAACACTAACTCAAATATTTAGGTACCCTAATTCTAAAGCACTAACACACTGAAAATTTTAGCAAAAGCTAATTCTGAAGCACTAAAATAACCCAGTCAACCCATGAACATTCTTCAACAGACAACATGAGTCACATATTGTCATGTTACTCTCTTAATTCTTATCATTGATATTCCACAGCTGTATTTAGGTTCATATATTGTCACCTGGTGGCTCAGTGACACACATATGAACAAAATGTGACAGTTTTCACCGTCAGCTGATAACATTAATGTTGATCAATAACATTTAAAGACCTTAGTTAGTGCTTCTAAATTTAGCAAGTGCTAATCCACTAATGAATTTTAAAATTAGCAAAAGCCCTAAAGTACTAATGAGGAAACTATGGTAATTCCCCTATTAGTGCTTTAGTGCTTTAGGGGAACTGTGCCCACCACTGGATGTTGTAAGAAGAAATGTGAAAGACAAATGCACTTCTCATTGTTGTTGAGTATTTTTCTGATTGAATACAAATAAACTGAATTAAATATGATTTTATACATGTAATGCATGGTGTGCTTTTTGTACTGAGTTTTTC